AATTCCCCCACACAATTCCCTCTCTGGGGAGCTATGCTTGTAGGCGCTGGAAAGGCCATTAAGGCAGTTGTTGGACAATAACTAAGGAAAAAGCTCTGTCAGCTTAAAAAGCTGATAGCCAACTGGAGAGGCGGTACAATCATTCAAGCTGGGCGTTACTGCTGCCACAGATCATCCAAGAGCTGGCAGATCATACAAGAGCTCTTCACCAACTTCGAGAGGAAGGTTACCTTCCCCTGCCTCAGTACAGCAATATGGATGAGAAGCCTTCGCACGCTGCATGTCTCTCTTGCCTTTGCGTCCCCAGCGAACAGCTGGGGCGACTTCTTAAATCAGCACAACCATTTCTGTAACAATTGACTAACCACAACCAATAAATAGAGCTTCATCCAAAATCCTTTACTGCTGAGGCTAAGTAAACCAGAATCTCACACAAACACTATTTCACCTAAAACAGCTGCCACTCAGCTGCCGCCTTAGATGTCAGGGTGAGAAGCTTATAAATACACCTTCAGTACTGGCATATGGAATATGCTTCCCGTCTGCTATTAAGAGCCTGACAAAGACTTTTGTCATCCTTTTTCTTTTAAAAAGGAAGCTTATTTTAACCTTATATTCTGTTAATCGCCTTTTAGTGCTGCCTGAGAAAACGGAATCATGGCAGGGCCTCTCCGAACTCATACACAAAGTTGTTTCTTCAAGTCCATCCTCAAGTTCCTCTTAAACATGAACTTCTGTGATCATGATGACAGTGAATCAAGCTGACTTGACCATCAAATTGTTTACAGTTCTCCTAGTGTTGCCAATCCCTCCCCTCCCCTTCTGTGTGGCTGTCGGTCTACCCTCTTTTTTTAAACCACAAAGTCATAGAATCATAGAATATCTCAAGTTGGAAGGGACCCATACGGATCAGCAAGTCCAACTCCATCAAGTCCCAGCAGGGGAAACCATCGTCCTTGAGCCAGCCACTGGAAAGCAACCAGGAAAACCGCTTTCATTCAGTCATTCTGTAGTTAACTTCACTGGAGGGCCCTCCTACGCTGAGTCTTAGGTGAAAACCTGTATGCCTAAGAACAGTTTCACCTACAAACTAGGAGGAAAAAATTTTAATTTCCTTTTATTCAAAGAAAAGTTTTTAAAACTTGGCAAGCTAAGACCCTGAAGCTGGTAATAGCTTCGTTAACTAAGTAGGAATCTGCACCCACCTCTTAATGCCCCCACTAAAACAACACACTACAACCATGCACGTTACTGTACTACATGTGCACATGCAGCTGCAGTAAATGGCCATGGACTTCTCCAAATGGATCTGTAACGTGCTACTCATACTTACTGCTCTTAAGAACTGGTACCTACTTCTTCCTTTATCCCCCATGAAACAAAAAGCAAATTCGGCAGCGAGAAGACGTCAGCGCTGCCCAGCTCATTAAATGCAAAGAGATAGAGATTCCAGCAGTAAGACTGTACAGTTGTTCTTTCTTTAAAACTATTGAGCAAAACAAAGCAGGCCAGAAGCTGATGACAGTCTCAGCAGAACGACTCTCTGCAATTTGTATGGCTCTCTGCAACTGCCAGCTCAATGGCATGGATGATGGAGGGTGTGAAAGAGCAGGAAACAGCAGTGAAGACACCAGATAGGGTAAAGAAAACCACACCAAATTCCTACTTACGCTGCTCTCTGATGTGTCTAGTGCAAGTCTGAAGCCCCTACAACTTCTCTGCTTTCCTTTCTTTTGGGAATACTCTAGGGCGTAGGGAAGACTTCCCAAAGTACCTGAAAAATGTATCCTTCATGAGACAGATTACAAAGTGATCCTTTGTAAAACAGATTCAAGAAACCACAGGCCAGCCAGCCTCACCTCAGTCCCAGTTCTACCTTGCAACTTGTCACTGCCAGTGGCATCCATCAGAGGTCAATACAGGGGCCAAGACTACTCAACATCGTCATTTACAACCTCGGCGACAGCACGGACTGCACTCCCAGTAAGTTTGAGGGTGATATGAAAACGGAGGGAGGGGGGAGAGTATGTCGGAGGGCAGGGCTGCCATTCACAGGGACCTGGACAGGCTGGAGGAAGGAGCCAACACAAACCTTGTGAAGTTCAACAAAGACAAACGCTAAGTCCTGCAGCTGGGATGGAATAACCTCACGCAGCAACACAGGCTGGGGGCCAACTGGCTATGTAGCAGCCTTGCAGAAAAGGACCCGGGGGTTCTGGTGGACAAGTTGAACATGAGCCACTGCTGCAAGGGTGCACTGCTGAGAGCTAACTATATACTGGCAGGTATTAGGAAGAGCACAGCCAGCAGTTCAAGTGCTTATTCCCCTCTGTTTAGCACTTGTGAGGTCACATCTGGACACAGCATCCAGCTTCAGGGTCCCCACAATACAAGAGAGATGTCGACAAACTGGAGACAGTCCAGAGCCATTAAGATGGCTGAGGAACAGGGACACACGACATACATGGAGAGGCGGAGGGAACTGGGTTTGCTTAGCCTGGAAAATGAGAAGACCGAGGAGGGAGCTAATGGCAATCTTCCACTACCTAAAGAGTGGGGGGCGCGGAGAGCCACGAAGAAGATGGAGCCAGACCTTTCTTAACGGTGCACAGTAAAAAGCAAAAAGAGGGAATATTAAAGTTCAGTGCAGCAAGGGGAATTCTGATTGGAAATAAGGAGAAAAGATTTCATGAAGAGTGATTAAGTACCGGAACGGGGGCCCAGAGATGCTGTGGTAATCTCCATCCTTGGAGATTTCCAAAACTCCGTAGGACAAGGCCCTGAGCACTCTGATCTAACTGTGAAGCTAGCCATTCTCTGAGCAGGGGTAGGACTAATGACCTTCAGAGGTCCCTTATAACAAGGAATCCCTGGAGTACAACTTGATTCTTGCTCACCTGGCCTGCATCCAGCCTTTTGGCCAAAGGGACTTCACCTCTCCATCTAGGAAGGTCTTCACATAATCCTCTAGAGACTGAGCCTTATTCTTGTCAAGGTCATAACCATCCAACTTAATCTTCACCAAGTGGCAAAGCAGCTCCCTGAAGAACAGGAAGATTTCAAATACAGTTACACGGATCGATTTTCCCCAGTTGGAGGTCATTCTGTTTATCCGGGGCTGGATAAATACGCCAAGACGCGCCTGGCTCAGTAATAAAACCGACCCTGCACTGCCTCCGCAAGAAAGAGGAAGGGAAAGGCACGTTCCTCGCTCTGTGTGTGCACGCACATCGATGCGCCAGGGGAGAAAGGCCTTGTCACCCCTTCCCATTTTAGTATCCTGAAACAGCAGAGGTAGTAAACCGGTGCCAGAATTACAGGCGCCATTACCAACCGCAGAACTGAACCTCCCTGCAGACCTTCGTGCTGAGAGGCAACGAGAAGGCAGGAAGTGAAGCTTGCTTTGTTCTAAATGAATCGGCCATCTACGGAGCAGCACCCCAGTTTGTTACAGAATAAGATGAAGACGACAGCGTGCTTGATTCTCTTTTTATCCTTTGTCCCTCTCCCCTTCACCCAGCACTCTGTTCTTTGCCAGACCCCTGGGTGCCAGGGGCAGCAATCCCCCTTAGCTTTAACTGCTTTCACAGCCACCAATCTGGTCTTGTGAAGAGTCCTGTCTGTAGGATTTCAGCAATTCAGCCGAGTTCCTCCTTTCCCCAAAGATCCGTCCCTCTCTTTTGGCCTCTGCACAGAGGCTTCTTAGCACGTCTCTCAGAGTTGGCCTGTGCCTGAAATCAGCTTAGTTTTGCAATGTGTATAAGGGTGAGATTTAATAAATGCAATAGTGGCTTCCATAAACAGCACAGTCTGCCACAAACCTCCAAGCTGACTGTCACTAGAGATGATCAGCGCTGCTCTGAAAACAAGATACAAATACTGAAATGCTTCACTTCCAGCTGCATAGAAAAAGACAAGTCACAGGTTCACTTAGTATCTAAATTATGCAAACCTGATTTCATCATTCCATTGAAATTTCTTTCGCGGTCCCATGATGCGCTTCCCTCCCTTTTCTTCATCCTCCTCATCATCAGAACAAACTCGATCTCGCTGCTCTTTGTCCTTTTCCTCTTCCAGCATCCTAAAATGGACACAGAGATAACGTGGAAGTCATTGTCCTGGAGATTCAAGGACAGGATTAAGTATCTCTGAACAACACTGTTCAAAGGTCTCAATAGCGAACAGTAACGCACGCATGGGAAGAGGGTCTAAATCTCTCGCTTTGGGTGCAAGCTGAGCCAAGTGCTAAAGGTCAAGAAATCTCCCAATATTGTGTAACAGAGACCACAGGACTAATCCAGCCTGACTGTTCTCAGACTGCCATGTTCCTAAAGACGTGCCTGCACAGAAGTGAAACACTTCAGCTAAGTTCTGGTCCCATCAATGCTGCTGTAGTTGGCATCGCCAGAGATAGCATAAAGAACACACACAGTTTAAATAGGCCAATTAATGCCCGTCAGCAATTTTTGACTACAGAACAAAAATAGGTGGTAAACTTCACGAGAGCAGCCTACAGGTCACAGGGAGCCTGCTGAGAAGAGCTACGGATGCATAACGAGCAAACGAGGAGCTTACTTGGCAAACTTGGCCTGAGTGTGGGCTTGGCATTCCTCCTGGTACTTGGCCATCTGCTCTGGCATGGCCCTTCCAATGGCTTCCTTTAGCTTCTGTAGAGGTTCCTTCAATCGGCCACCCTAGAGCACAGCACAGAACAGACTGAAGGTCCACATGGCCTGCTCCACCCGAGACACCCAAATCTGGCAGGTCGAGACCTTGCCAGTTCCGAATCCACACCCCCAGATGTGGCGCCTGAACCACGCTCCGTGGAGGACACCACCACGCAAGGCAGACAACAGCTGTGCTCTGGAGATCGGGGGGAACGTGCACACGAGACAGGGCTCCACTGCCAAATTCACTCACCTGCTCGTAGAGGTAAAGCTTACGGGCACGCTTGACCAGAGTGTCCTTACTGCACGGGAAGAAAGCAGCCAGGTGGGCGTACACCCCCGACCGGATCTGGCTGTTCAGCTCCCGGGTCTGCAGCTCTATGCTGAAGAACAAGACAAACGCAGCGTCGACCAGGGATCTGGCAAGGGTTCTCTAAGCAACAGAAATGCAACTCTGATGCAACCTGGGGAGCAGGCAGGGAGGGACAAAGTACCAGCCAAACTACATGGTGGTTCTTTAGATTTTAGACTACGCCTTTTAATCTAGTTTCAGAGTATCTGGAAAAGGAACAGAAGGATGTCGGCAGTCTCATTTATCCTGCATTTCTTCCTGGCAGATGAAGTGCAGGATCGTCAGGCAATGAAATGAGACGTACACGCTGCTTATGTCAGATACTATGGCAGTCTAACGCAGGATAATATAGAATCAAACTTTATCCCTTGGGCTTGAACTTACTTCCCAGTGAGTAGATTCGAGAGGTCAGTGTGCGCCAAACCCATCTACACAGTTATGTATAACTTAAGAGACTAGCTTTTTAAGCCACCTCTCAGTGTCAGTAAAAAGTGTAAAAACCCCTAACTGATTCTACGGCAAAGTCACACAAATCTATTTAAATCACTTCTGAATGTGGTTGAAGTTATCAGTTTGAAAACAGATTAGGACTGTTTGTTTGTGCAGTCAGCACTGGAATGCTAAAAGGTGGTAATCACCACTTGAAACGAGAGGGAAACAGACTCCCAAACTTCCCTTCGGCAATTCCCTTTAAGTGCCTTCATAAACCTTAATGAAATTAAAGCCTCTGTATAAGTATTACACTGCGATGATCACAAAGCTGTGTGCATTCATCAGCCTTCTCCAGGCACTTGAAGAAGAATGAAGCCATTATCAACAGCTGCGTGAAGCAACACTGGCATTCTATAATTGGGGGACTCAAAAAACACACAGCAGTAATGGAGTTCCTCCAGTCTGCAGAGAAAACCAGTTGAACACAGCAGCCTTATCCCAGTTATAAAATATTCCATATAGCATATAACTTAAATAGCAAAGAACATGCCTGACATCTCCGACAGGGAGAGATTTACTGTTCTTGTATCAAGCTACAATCACAGGTCAAGTGACCAAATTTAAGTACACAGGTATCAAGCATCATCTTGAGAACAGGAGGCCTGGATACATCCCTCCCAATCTTCTCCTACCTCAGCTACACATCATATTTCAACAGAAAGCCATTTCTAGGAGACTTTCATGTTATCCTAGGCATGTTCTGCGTGGAGAACCTGTATAAGGACACCCTCCCAACTCCTGCTAAACCTGCTCCTGAATTTACCAAAAATGCTCTGCCTAATATTCTCCTTTCCCATTCTTCTCTCGTGGCACACTTACTCCAGTATGATGTTGTTGATATCCTGAGTGAAAAACCTCTGTTTGCCTTCTCCTTCTGCAGCTCTGGCAGCCTGGAAATCAGCAAATAACACAAGTCATCATCAGTTCACAAATATAGACGGGCACAAGCAATCAAGTGTTTTTTAAACCACTTCAGAAATACTGTAAAACAAGGCACAGTTTTATTCCACCAAACTCTGCACCAGCTACCTGCTGTAGATGGGCTAAAAGCTGCGACAATTGACAGACAGAAGAGAGACTGTGTCCTCTCCTCTTACGCCTCCTCGCTCCAAGTCCAACCCTGCCATCTGAACTGGTAAGACCACGTCCTGCCCACAGACCTTCCCGTTCTGGATTCTCCTGTGCAGATACACTGGAGTCGAGTGCATTGGAGTTACTACACTAGAGTGAAGATTCCTCCATTTAATGGGGCAAGGGAGATGGCTTGGTGGCCGCTGGCTTCCTTGGCATACTTCCCATGGGGAGAAGAGACAGTTCTAGGGCATGGTGTTAACTTCACACTAGAGCCGTTCGATTGAGTAATGAGAGCACAGAACTTGGTCCCTGGGACAGGGAAGATCATTCTAGTCATGTTTAATGAGGGTCGGGGATAGTGATCATCAGGCTTTCTAGACCAATCTGGACACCAATCCTGTTCGGGAAGCTTCCTGAGCTACGACTGCAGCACACACAGCACTGTCCAAAAATCACACCCATGAAAAATATGTCCAGCGGGAAAATAATTCCAGGAGATGAACGAGATAGTAGAAAATTGCCAAGAGCTTTCAGTCTCTTCTGAGTGGGGATGTAAACAAAGCTGGGATTCACCACAAGGCACCACATCAAGTTAGCGATTCCAGGCATGGGAAAGGAGACCAGGAGAGAAGGGCACGATTTTGAAACCCCCTGATTTAACACTTCAAGGTTGAGGCCAGTAAGCGAGTCATTTATGCCCAGAAGGTGTATGTTCCTCTCTGCCAGCAGCAGGTCATGGACAGCTGATGGTATCAAAGGAGCAGGTTCAATGCTAAAGAGAATCCTCTACAGGAAAATTCTTTTAGGAAGGAGAGTTAAAGTCAAATCAGTTCAAGTAGAAGAGGAAATGCCTGGAGGCTCCATTTAACCCAGGAGATGCTCCCACCTGCTGAGATGGAAGAAACCTGGCTCTCAGACAGAGGTATGGCACCTCTTCATTCCCACCTGCACCAGAGAACATGTCCCAAAATCCTAACTGACCCAGAGGCTTCAGTTTGTTAAATCTTGTATTTCTCCTCTTTGGTTTCTTTTCTTAACATACGCAGTCTAGCAACAAGAGAGACAGCAGCAGGAAAATCTAACCAGGAAAATCTGTGGGTACTCTGCTATTACACTATCTTGCAGCAACATAACAATTAACTTGATATCATGGGAGCCCCCGTAATATCCTCCTTTAACTCAGATATAGTTCAGAAACAGCTGTTTCAGTGTTTTCTGTTAACAGCCTGAATAGCAAGTAGAAACATCCATGAAAAGCCTATTCTTTTTATCAGCTGTGGCAATACTTTCCTCAATTCCTCCTTCTCTTCCATCTGCTCACCACCACTATACACACTTAAAATTTCTCAGCAGAACACAGTTATCTTTAACAGAAGCTAATCTTTAGTAACAGAGTTATTAAGTAAGAGATGCTTAAGTAACAGGTGCTCTAAATTGATGTGCCCCAGAAGGCAGAACACACACTGCCGTAGAGGTCCGAGAGCACTGTTTACGACTTAAAATCAATGTTTAAAAAGAACACTAGTAACAGGAACAAAACATCTCAGCATTTGTTGACAGGCTGAGAGTGCCCTCACACCAGAGAAGGCCCACGGCAAGTCTGAAAGTGCACTTCTTCGACATGCCAGGAGAGGGATCCCTGACCAGCACCCAATGCTTTCCCGCTTCTCCAGAACAGCGGTTCCCGAAGCGGGTCACAACGTTTTGGAGAAGATGGGCGAGTCCCACAGGAGTCCAGCTGCAGGAGGAGCTACTGGTGAAAAGACGTGAGATCACACTTCTAGTATATTCCACTCCCTAAACAGCACCCCAACACTGAGATGTTAAAGATGGGGAAAGAACCCAAATTGCCAGCGACGCGGCTCCAGTGCGGGAGATGCCAAATTGAACCCATGCTTCACGAAGGCATCTGCCTGCGTACGACACGGGAAACGGTTCTAACAAGTCCTCAAGCCCCATCTACAGGGCTTTTCACGCCTTCTCACACTGCAGAACAGGTAATGCTTTCCAGCTGTACCCACTTATTTTATAAACAGAACACTGCACGCCACTTCACAGACGCTGTCCTGACCATCACAGCACATTAAAACTACTACGGTGGAATTCGTCCTTCAGCCTCATTAGTTCACATTTTAAGTTCATTCATGTTAAATTGACTTGGGAAATTACCTCTTGCATCAGGTCCATACTTTGCTAAGAGAGGTAAAGAAACCATACTGACAGGCGGGATACTGAATGTAACACTCAGTAGATAACAAGGCCAAGGACTTTGACACTACCTGACATCTGGGCGTTCAGGAAAGTGACTTGGCCATAAGAGAAAACTGGGTGACGCAAAGGTACGATGCGATGTGGCACAGTGAAACTCCCCCACTGGAGTCTGTTCCGTCTCTGGGCGAAGCTACACAAACCCAGCAGAGCTGTCCCCTCTCCAGCAACCACACAATCCTACTGCCCCGCAATGAACTGCCATACCTGAGCCAGTTCTTTGATGCGTTTCTCCAAAGGGGCTGGCAGGCCTTCTGGGAGCGATGGCGGTTGCTTGAAATCCTGTTCCAAGCCCATCCCAATAGGATCGCTCCCATCCTCCACATCAGGAAAGGGACTCCCTTCTGGGGATTCACTGAGGAGCCGCTCCAGGTCTAGGTCAGTTAACGAGTCCATAGCCGTCGCTGCCTGAAGCAGGTCGTTGTCACTGGCATGGCCGAAGAGTGAGAGCAAAGGGTCAGGCATCGCCTCCGCCTCCCTTGGGGCTGGAGGTTCTGCCGGTGAAGGAGTCACCACTTTCTGCTCTTCATCCTTTTTCTTCTGAGCATCCTTCTCCTTCTGAAACTTTTTCAGCATCTCCTTGACACTAAGAGCGCCAGAGTATTTCTTCTTTTTCTTCTCCTTACTTGCATTTAATGCCGTAAAGCTGTAAACAAAGTGTGAAGGAGGAAAGGGAACTGAAATGAATACAAGATGAAGGGGAGGGGACGAGGATACCTTCATCCCAGTTTACTTCAGCCATATGCACCAACCCCCTGGAAAGTCTTAGCCCCTTAACCAATTACACCAGGAAAAATATTCTGTTGCCTCTTTAGGTCTTAAGGTCCCGCTGCTTGTTCAGCCTGGAGGAGAGAAGGCTGTCCTTCCTCGCTGCAGAGAGGGGACGGAGCTTAAGCCATCTCCGCCGAGTTATGCTCTTCTTTAGCTACGTGCATTATTCCAGCAAGGAAGACTGGGAAGTGCACAAACAACTAGTGCAACTGAAGCAAGAGAGAGTTAGCGTGACAGCGGCTTGACCCTTTTTGCCTATTAAAGCCAGGAAAGCAAATTCCTTTTCCTTCTCTTCAGGCTCTCCAATACCTGCTCCCACCGTCAGTGCCCAAAGAGAGCTCCAAGAAACACCAACACTGCAGCTAGCTGTGCCCCTCTCTGCTCGGACGCTCCTGCTGTGGAGCTGTGCTCCTTCCCTAATCGTCAGCTGCCTTTTTTCTCCCACTTTGGAAGCAACGGGGGTTTACCCGCTGGTGTTTACGCGCCACGTGCTCAAGCCACCCCCCACGGCAAGAGGTACTACTGCAGCGTAACAAATGCCACCTGTAACCCCGAGGCAAGGTGTCGAGCAGCAAGCGTTCCCTCCCCCGCCTTACCCAGCTTTTGGGAACTTGGACTTTTTGGATTTCTTTTCCTTGTCGTAAGAATCATCCTTCTTCTTCTTCTTCATTTTTTCACCTCCATCTTTCAACTTCCGCTTCTGGAGAGGGTTAAAACCAAGTCACAATCAAAGCGTCTCCTGCTCATGGAATTGGACCTGCACCCCCAGAGCCCCTTTCCCCCCCCCCAGGAATTTGAGAACAGCTCCTTCCCCACTGGCCACATTGACCCAACCCCCATACACGTATCACCAGGTTCGGGCACACACTGTCTTCAACATTTCACAGCGCACCTGGCTTTTACACTAGAGACGATCCTACCAAGAAAGGGGAAGGGATGCCAAGTGCTCCTGCTCTTTCCCCTTTTAGCCGCCTCGCTTCGGCATTATGTCCAACAGACATTGCCACCGAAGAGGAGCACACCTCTAACAGAGGAAATAACCGAGAAAGCTGGCTTGCTGACCTTGGGACACTTCTTCTTCTTCTCTTTAACATAGTCATCTTCAGATTCAGACGCTTGCCGAAACTGCAGTGTTCCTGAGTTGATGTAAAACCCTCCATACTTCGTAGTAAGAGAAGCCGGAACAAGCTCATCGTACTGGAAGTAACAGAGAACAAACAATCCACTGTAAGCTTTGTCGCTTTATTCTGTAGCTGAGCTGCTTGGAGAATGGAGCGGGACTTGAGCTCCCCCAAGAACAGATGGGGCTGCGGACACGCCTGCTAACCAGCATTCCCCTGCCACGCGCTTGCCCCGGGAGCTCTCGTTCCCCAGCCCTGGCACACCCCTGGCTTGCGCCCAGTTCAGGTTCTCCCCAGGTGCCAGCTCAGCCCCCCAGGCCGCTGCCTTTAACCACCCTCACTCCTGCCCCAGTACTCACTGCTTCAGAATTATCGATGAAGGAGTCAGATTCGTCGTATCCGTACCCCATATCAATCAAGTCCTGAATACGGTCCTTCCTACGTCTCTTGCCACCCTAAACAATAAAAGATTGACAGTGTGTTCATCCTTCTTTTCCAGTTACCACGGGGATGGCCCCGATACAGGACACTGACATTGGCTCCAGTACAGAAGAGAGAACGAGATCTTTTTTGCTCCTAGCAAAAGCAGAACCAAACCAGCGTTAACTCCCATGATGTAATCTCAGGATACGGTAAATCCAGTTTTAGGCCTTGTCATACGGAATCAAAAATGGTGCAGCCAAATGAAACGGAACGCTGACCTGCCAGACAGGCTGACTTTGCGCCAGCAGACTTTACGTTGATTTGGGTCTGCACCCCTTCAACATTTCTGCCAGTGCAGAGATGGACTGTTCTTCCATAACTGCCATACAGTCAGCGCAAACTCGGTACGACACCCACCAAACATACACGCAGTGCACTGGGGTGACCCACAGGTCAAATTCGTATCACAAGACAATACAGCAACTCGCTATTCAAAAGTGCCAATTGTAAAACATAACGTAGTGTTATGGCCATCTACAGAAGTAAAGTATAGAGGAAGAACAGAAAGGAAATGGGTAAGACAGATCAGCACCTCTCACGCTACCCAGAGCAAGGCTTAGAAATTAATTTTTGCTTAAGACAATTAAATTTTATAAGCTACATTAAGATAATGACGTTTGCCACTACAAGTGAGAACGTCATTCACTTGAATCAGGCTGTCATCTGATTTAAGAACGTATCTGAACTAGTTTGGTGGACCAAGCCCTGAGACAGGAAAGGAACATAGAAAACAGAACCTTCCAGCCAAGATACAGGACTGCAGGAGAACAGGAACAGAAGAGCCAACGACCATTACTAAAATACCACTGGTTGGGAGCTGAACAGCATTGCCCATTCCAAGGGATAACGTAATAGAAAGAAGAAAAACATACATATTTTTCTTCAAACTTCCTAGCAAGAGCCTCCACTTTATGCCTTTCCTTTTCGTCATCATTAAAGGGATCAGCGGGGTCTTTCTTCTGTAGAAATAAGAGAGACAAAAACATCAGACTCAATCCCATCACGCTGCCACCAAAACCCCGTGCATTAAACCCATCACAACTAGAGCATCCAGGCAGAAGCTCAGACAAATCAACCTTTAGTACGGTATTTAGGACAGTCCTCTTTAATATCTTCATCAGTGACACAGACAGTGGGATCGAACGCACCCTCAGCAAGTTTGCAGATGACACCAAGCTGAGTGGTGTGGTCGGCACGCCAGAGGGACGGGATGCCATCCAGAGGGACCTGGACAAGCTGGAGAAGTGGGCCCGTGTGAACCTCATGAGGTTTAACAAGGCCAAGTGCAAGGTCCTGCACCTGGGTCGGGGCAACCCCAGGTATCAATCCAGGCTGGGGGATGAAGGGATGGAGAGCAGCCCTGCCGAGAAGGATATCCTAGTTTCGGCAGGGACAGAGTTAATTTCCTTCCTAGTAGCTGGTACAGTGCTGTGTTTTGGATTTGGGATGAGAACAATGTTGATAACACACCGATGGTTTAGTTGTTGCTGAGCAGTGCTTACACTAGTCAAGGGCTTTTCAGCTTCCCATGCTCTACCGACTGAGCAGGCTGGAGGGGCACAAGAAGCCGGGAGGGGGCACAGCCAGGACAGCTGACCC